CATATTGTTCCCAGCTCCTCTTCCATGCCTCTCCTCCCAGTTCCTGCTTTGCTCGGGGCAGGAAGGCACTTTGGAAATTCCTTGCTGCTAGCCCTTTTCTTCTCGCCCTCTCTCTTCTCCCCGCTTTTGCTGTTGCAATTAAAAGCATCGTGAACCTTTCTCTAACATTTCAATCCTGTCCCCCCCACCCCCCTCTGATGTTTTCCTTTTACCCATCCCAACACTGCATCACCAGCTCTATCCAAAGCAGTGCCATTTATTGGGATCATCACAGAGGGGGTTGTTTAATCGGGAAGCCCCAGCACATCCAGCTGCCCAGCACTGGTCATTAGGTCATGTGTGCTCCTTGTGTGCTGGACCACAAAGTTAATGACATGTCCTGGGGCTCTTCCAGGAGTTTGGAAGGTGCAGTATGTTGGATTTACTTCATTTTCTTGGAAGAGACACATTAACCTTGTCAGCTGGCCAACAGAAGAGGAAATTTGGCAGAGCTCTTGCTGAGCTGGCCAGGTTATCACAGCGTTAAAGGGTTGTACTTCAGTGAGCAACCAGAAATGGCAACACACGGGCACAGCACCTGCACAGCAACCATGGATTCACCACTGAGAGCCTCCTCTCTTACAGAATTAGTTCCTTTAGCAAGAGAGAAGAAAGGATGAAAAAAAATTCAGGAGCTTTTCAGTGTTGTCAGAGGTGTGGAAGATAAAACTTCACTTCAAAGTGCCTATAAGAAGCCTGCTTTTATTTCTGGTGGTGGGAAATCAATGCTGTGCCATGGTAAATACCTGCTGTCCACTGTCTTTCTAATTCAACCTTCAGAATTTGATCCAGCTTTTTAACAAGTGGTGAGTAACTCTGGATAATGACGTGACATTTTAGTCATCCTTTCAGTCACGCTTTGGGAAGAGTGAGGCTGCTCTTGCTCCGGAGCTGTGGAATTCTGATAGCAAGTTCCCAGGCTCTCCAGCCACGTGCTGTTGCCTACTCAGGCAGTTCTGGGTCGCTGTATGAACACGACTTCTTTTCCCACCCTGCACATCCTCTTCGTGTTTGCCTCCTGTTATCACTCCACCCAGTATCTGTGAGGGACAAATAGAGGTGAAGGCAGAGGTGAATGGGAGTGAGGAGGAGTCAGGATGGAGAGCAGATACCAACTGGATGAGGCTTCTGATAGGATTTGTAGGGTGGAAAACCCATTGCACCACATGATGGGGCTGAGCTGTGTAGGATGTGGGCTCCTCAAGGAGCATCTCCAGTGCAAACCCACGACTGGGGAGCACAGTGCAGCTCCTGGAGCGAGGCTGTGCTCGAAGCAAATCTGCTTTTTCTCTCTTCTGGTGCTCCCTGCTTACCCTCCCCCCTTCCAGTGCCCAGTATTTATGTTTCCACATAATAATGATATAGTGTGGCTGGCAGAGTAATTTAAATAATTGGACATTATCTTGAGAAGCAAGCACCTAATTATATCAAAATAAACCGAGAACTGAAATTTTCATCTGTTTCTAATAACCTTTTACCTATGTACAGTGTTGCTGGTGCTACAGGGATTTCCTTATTCACACCACTGTGTGTTCTTGGGGTTCACGAGTGATGGAGACTCCTGTAGGAGCAGAGTGCTTGGTGGCACTTTCTGGACAAGATTAGTGACTCATTCCTGGTTCTGTAGTGTTTTGCAGTAATCCTCTGTCATATTTGCCCCTTGTGTAACCAGTGAGGTTTGGAGTCTGTACAGATCAGGGTTTGAATGCAGATATTTAGAGAGAAAAGGCTCAGATGACTTCTGACTTTAGATCTCTGTTGTTCATTTCTCTAAGTTTGTCTAGGAACTTATAATCTATTTGTTTTGCTGCATGTGAGGAAGAGGCAGCTGACACCTTCACCAGGATTTGGTGTCACTGGGACCATCAGAGCATGTGAAGATGTTGCTTCTACAGCACACCAGCTTTGATTTGGTCCTGAGACAAGGACTCCACTGTTGCAAGTTCACTGAAAGAGTCTTAGTTTGGCTTTGACAACTGCAGCTGGAAGTGTCTGATATGGATAGGGTCATTTACAATTGCCAGGATTGCAATTAAGGGAGGAAAAGAGGGAAATATTTACTAGCCTTTATTTTAGGGACTGGTTCAGTGTGTTTCTCCTGATGAGTTGCTCTCCCTCACACTTCCTCGTACTCTTATTCAGTTGATTTATTTAAAGGTATGTCAGTGCTGGCTGAAATGAAACACTGTGCCTCCTCTTCCTGCTTATTGCTGACCGCTCCAATAATTCATTTTTTAGCTCATTAACTAACAGGGGATGTGAGCAGTGGTCCTCCAGGGAACTGCAATGAGGTTAAGTGATCTACTGCTGACAACTCTGCTCTTGGACTGGCCTTCCTTGGGGGAAATGAAACCTCAACCAAGACAAGCTGTGGATCCCAGAAGTGAAATTGGGGCATCAGAGCAACAATTGCAGTATTTATGTCTTGTTGTCAGGGTTTCTGAGATGAATGCAAGCGGCGGAGCTGCAGCTGTCTCCCAGGAAAGTCCCCAGGACTTCCCATCCAAATTAAATAGTTTGTGCCAGAGATGGAGGGAGGATGTTTGTGGACATTGGCTTTCTAGATGCTCTTTGGAAAGCAGTCTCTGTGTGTTGTGGCTGTCCATGAGGTGTAGTCCAGTGTGCTTTTCCTCCTACCTCTCATGAGGTTTTGTTTTCTACCCTGAAATCCAAGTCTTTCTTATGCCCAGTTTGTACTGTTGAAAAAGATCTAAATCTCCCCCATACTGGTGTCAGTGGCATGCTGCCCCAAATGCCTGAGGCCTCTGAAACCCCTTTATTTTGATTTCTAGTTCCATCACAACCCTTGATGTGACTCCAGAGGTGGAACTGGACCTTACTGAGTGAAGTCATTTGGTGCCCAGCACTGAGGCAGGTGGCAGCACATTCCCCTTCCTGTGACATTGGCTTTTAAAGAGTTTCCTCTTCTTTCCCCAGCCTTTTGAGGCAGTAGGACAAAACTGAGCAGGACTGGGGCATCCCTATCTCTCTTTCTTGCATCCTTCCAGGAGCATCAGGATTGCCCACATGACGCACAGCAAATGTAAAATTTGTGCTGATAGATTTGTGAACCAGCAGCCTCAAGCTTTGAGAGCCTCTCCCTGAACTAAGCAGTTATTCTCTCTATTTAGCATCACTGTTATTACAATTTAGGCTGAGTGGTGATTGGAAGTGGGAGACTTGAGTCAAACAGCTTTTTTCTAAATAGAAAGGGACTTTTTCTTGAGCCACAGCGATCACAACAACCAGTGCTCTGATAGGAGCCAAAAGTTTCTCTCACTCGAAGGATGGCTGGGGGAGAGAGGGATTCATTTGCAGACCCTTGACTAAGCTAAAAGAAGTATTACTTACATATCTGAGGAATATTTTGCCTTTAGGATATATGGACATAGGAAAAATAAATTCCCAGAGCCCTGGTGTGTGTTACTGTGGGTGAACAGCACAGGTTGAATCACCTCATTTTCCAGTCTGGCACATTTTAAACATGTAGTGGATGTGTTGGTTATACTCTCAGTACCTCTGTGTGTTTTTAAAAATCATGTGAGATCTTTGCTAACATCCTTGAAGATAATCTAGATGCATACTGGGAGTAGAACTGTTGCAGGAATGCCCATTTTGTTGCAGATAATTGCATGTTACTTTATCCCTTTCGTGGCACAGGTTCTAGTTTGTCTTTTTACCTTAAAAAATGTAATTAGAAAAATAATGAATTAAAAATTCTGATAACAGAACTCCTTTTCTTCCTCCTCTTCATCTGGAATACCTGCAGCGATACTCCATTTATCAGATCTTGCCATCAAAGGTTAATTTGCCACTGCCCAGATGGATTGTGGAGGGGGTTTTTTGGTGTGCCTTTTCGCTTGCAGGAGTCATTCAGAGGTTTGAGGTAAAAGAAGCACTCTCTGTGTTAATTTGATGTTTGCACTTTTGCTCTGAAGAAAAGCCCTGGCCCTGTTTGTGGGGTAAACTGTGGCCGGGGCAGGGAAGCTGTGCCTGCTTTGGGAAGCTGTGCCTGAAAGCATCCAGGCAGGTCACAGCAAGGTCACTCCACATGTCCCAGGAAATGATGCAAAACTAATCCAGATTTGCTGGTGGAAGGAGATGTTTACATAAGTATTTAAAAACAGATTAGGACTAACCTGACACTAGATTACTGGGAGCAGTGTAAACACGGCTGAAAGGCGTAAACAGAGCTTGGCCTTTTGTACTGCAGAGGAGAGAATCTGTCACCAGGACCCAGTTGCCTGGCTCAGGTGATGTTTGTGGTTTTCACAGGCTGAGCAGATTACCTGAGGGACCTCCAAATGGGACTTTGTCTGGGGCTGGTGCTCTCAGATCATGTAATTGTATGGTAATTTTGAAATGGCGAGTGGAGGGCCTTGTTTGTAGTCCTTGTTCTGCTGTAACCTGATAGCACCAGAAAGCTTCTGATGGTCCTTTGATATAGGAGGAAAAGGTGCTTCAAAGCACTGGTTTGAATTTTGGAAAAACAAGAGGAATCATCCTTACGCCTTTGGGAACATTACTCAGTTTGGAGGGGAACAAAGCCCCCATTTGGTTACTTCTGGTCTGGGATACAGAAATTGGGTGTGGTTTTTTTGCAGCATATTTTCCAGCCTTAAAATGGAACATGGCTTCTTGTTGTGTTGTGTCTTTGGTCTTTGTGACAGCAAGGGCTCTTGCCCCGACCTCTTGGTGGCCCAGGGTTTTTTAAGACCTCCTGGCTGTTGTGATCCTACAACCCTGTGAGCACAACATCCATCAAGGAGGATCTGGAGCAGTGGCTCAGGAAGAGTAAAGGTGGACAACACAAATATTGCTGAAAATACAAGGTCTGGGTGAACTGTTCCCTTGAGGGCTTTCTTGGCACCAGTTTGAGAGGGGAAATAACCTCCTTGTTGTTTGAGGACTGTTGGGTGCGACACCAGGTGAGAGTGACCTGTCCCCTCTGCCTTCCCTAGGGAAGAAAAAGAGCTCTGGATACGTGCCAAGTACGAGCAGAAGCTGTTCCTCGCCCCGCTGCAGTGCCTGGAGCTGTCTCTGGGCCAGCATCTGCTGAGGGCCACAGCCGAGGAGGACTTGCGGACAGTGATCCTGCTGCTGGCCCACGGCACACGGGACGAGGTGAACGAGACCTGCGGGGACGGCGACGGGCGCACCGCCCTGCACCTGGCCTGCCGCAAGGGGAGCGTGGTGCTGGTGCAGCTCCTCATCTGGGTAAGGACTGCCCTGCTGCCAGGGCTGGGCTGGGCTGGGCTGGGCTGGGCTGGGCCCTCGGTCAGCAGAGCTGTTCCTGGACGACTCCACAAGGAGCTGGGTGTTCCTCACTGCCCGCTTCCAAAGGGTGGCACCGTGGTAGAACAGCATGTTTCTGCCTCTGCTGCTCAATGGAAAGTGAAGGAGTGATTCCCTTAGCTTGGATACCGCCAGGGTAGATTTTGTCCCACACGAGACTCCCTCCCTCGAGAGACACTTTTACCATATGCGGCTCAGTGCTGCCATGCTCGTGTTGTCAGGCTGCTCTCCTGCCTGCTCCCTCCTCCTCCCTTCAATCTCACGCCAAACCCACTCCCGAAATTGCAGCTGCCATAGCTCCCTGTTGTCGCCCCGCAGTACGGCGTGGACGTGATGGTGCGCGACGCCCACGGGAACACGGCGCTGGCCTACGCCCGCCAGGCCTCCAGCCAGGAGTGCATCGATGTGCTGCTGCAGTACGGCTGCCCCGACGAGCGCTTCGCCCTCATGGCCACCCCAAACCTGTCCAGGAAGAACAACAACCGCAACAACGGCGGCGGGAGGATGCCCACCATCATCTGAGGGGAGCTCGCTGGCGTGTCGGCCGAGCCGAGTCGCACCCACAGCCTCCCATTCCTCCATCCCTATCGCAGCTCTGCTCCGTGAGTCTGGTAACTCTCCTTGTCCCTTCCCGCTCCGGCCCGTCCCCGAGTCCCAGCAGGAAGGTGGAGAGCGCAGGGGCCGAGGAGGAGCGCGGGGCAGGCCGTGGTTTGAGCTGCGCCGCCGGGCCGGGAGGGCGCGGGGCCGCGGGCAGGGACAGCGGGCGGGGGAGAGGCGAGCCGGAGCAGAAGGAGGGAGAGACGGTGACTTTCCCTAACTGACAGTGAAGCACATCAGAACATTTCACCTCTGCCGAACGCGGCGACGCCTGGATTTCCATTCTCTTCTCCTGAAGAGCTTGACGGCATAAATCAGAAGCAAGCACAGAGTTTGTCAGGTTTGAAGCTCCTATGATGGTATGTGTCAAATCAGTTGTAGCTAATCTGTCCGGGGAGAATACTGGCTTCATTACACTTGTATAGTTGAGTTCTTCCAGCATTACTGCTGTTTAATAGAACATGATTAGTCATCACGGAGAAAAAAGCATATTAGCTGAGGAGGTAGTTACATGGCACGCTTCGGTGATTGCTTGGATGTGATTGCAATATTCTTAGAAGCATCATATTATCTCAGACATGTTCTTTCGAGCCCTTGGAGCCCTCCTTTCTAAATTCACTGTCATAATTTAGTATCTGTTTAATTTTTCAGTCCAAAGAGAGGAAATGAGTTGCTGAGTGTTATTTGACTGCAGTCTCCTTGGTGTAAAAACAAAATGGAAAAAATAAATAAGAGTAAGCCTGAAACACAAAAAGGAATAATGAATACCGCTACGGAAAACAACATTTCAAGTACGTTTGGTGAAATTAATAAAAGCATTAAAGGCTAATTTATTTTTTTTTGTTACGTTTTCAGCCAGCAGAAATAGGTTCTGTCATTTTGCCAAGGTAAATCGTGTTGAGTTTTTGGTCACTCCTGTGATGCATTGCCTAACTTATACAGATTTTTGTATCGTGTCTCTAGATTCTATGTATTTAAAATCTATTTGAATAAAAAAAAGACCGTAAATATACATTGATTTTTTTTTTTTACTGGAAAAAATGACATCTCTGTTAATTTATAAACTGTAATGGATGTGAACTAAATAATGTGCAACTAGTTAGGATCTGTGGGTTACAGATCATTATTGTACATTGATAATATTCCCAGCAGTGAAATCTTCTTTCCAAAGGCTGTGAGGAACAACATATAAGAAGGAGATCACGGCCCAGGGAAGAAAAAAAAACCATGTGAGATCTTTTAGAAGGGAAAAAAGAGGCTGTTCCTCAGCACTGTAAATATATTTTACTCCAGAAGTCAGGAAGCTTTCACAAGCCAAGACAAAAAGGCCCATTGTGGCTGGGGGAAGATCAGGTTTGATTAAGTTCAGAATTGATAGCCTTCACCACGGCCGGCAGGGCAGGCTGCGCTCCGCTCCCGGCCAAGAAAAATGGCTTGTGCAAGTGGCCTGGACAGTTCATTTCAATTCCAACTTTTAATACTTGCTTGGATTGTTTTGGGCTTACCAGGCACATCCCATCTAGCAGGATTCTGGCGTGGGGAAGCAGAGGTTTTGGCAGGCAGAAAAGTGAATTTTTTATTTAATTTTTTTTTCCTAAATGGCATATGGCAATGTGAGGATGGGGGCAGAGTTCTTCATGGAGAAAGTTGAAAACTCAACTGAATTCGATGGCAAAGGAGCAATTATGTTAAGACAGTGAGGTGCACACAGCATAGCAATTTGCAAATCTACCTGCTTCTGTGTATTTCCCAAGCCTTAGTGTTACTCGTCCTTGGGGCTCTGGGTTTCATTCAGCACACGAGTGGGAGGAGCAGCTGCTAAATAAACTGAATGTGGACAAAATGGAAAGGAAAAAACGCAATGTGGTTATCTTAAGGAAAACAAAAAAAAAAGGAAAAATGACAGATTTGAGATAAAATTGTGGCTGAAAAATGAGCCTTGAGCTGGAAGCACAGGACTATTGAATGGCTTCTCCTCTTTGGTGGTGTTGTCCTTTTGTACTTTGTTGTTTTCTAAACCTTGGAGTATTTGAGGGGAGGGAATCTTACTCCAGCCTGCCTAGGCTGACTGCATCAGACACAGCTGATTCCCTTCTTCTGGGATACTTCCAAATATTTGAATTTTTTTATTTTTAAATTTAGAAAAAGGTGTCTGTTTGAACTGCCATTTCTCCACCATTCCTGATGTTTGGTACTTACAGGTGGTCCCTCAGGGAGGGGACAGCCCAGCTGATGTGCAGCTGAAGAGGATGCTGTGAAACCCTCTGTGTGCTGGTGCTCAGGAGCTTTGCCACCACAGGGATTCAGGAATGACAATCCCAGAGGTGCTAGAGCTGCCTGCTGTTCCCCCCAGGAACATCCAGGGCATTTGTATCCCAAAAGCCAAGTCCAGTATTTCAAACTCACAGTGGGCAGAGTTCTCAGGGCACGTTCTGTGTCACAGCTGGGTTTTCTTTTCCTAATTGAGATTATTTTCTGTACGTTGTTTGATGTTCTCTTTGGGCCTCCTTCCTCTGACAACGCAGAGGGTGATGTTTGAGAAACAAGGCTTCAGGTAGGCAAATTATGTGGTCCTTTCCTAAAGATCTTCTGAGGGCAACCCTTAAAAAAGCACAGAATGTTTTTAGGAGAGGAAATTCCAGTGTATTAGAGGAAAAATCATGCATCCAAGCAAGCCAAATAATATTTTAATTAAGTAGTAACACGGTTGCTTTTACCCTGAACGTAGTTTTCCCGTAAGTGTTGGCATAACTATGTTGAAGCAGTGTGGATGGGGGTCTGTGGGGAGGATTCCCAGCCCTGCACGTGGCAGAGCTCCCTGGGAATGCCAGGAGATCCCAGAATATCCTGAGTTGGAAGGGACCCACTGGGTGAGGTCACCCAGGGCCATGGTCACCAAGTCCCTCCTTGCAGGGTGGAGGACAGGAGGGGAAGCCCCTCTCACCAGGGCAGGGATGGAGGAGGCTCTCCTTGGCTGGATCCTAGTGGGGCTTGGCTTTGAGAGCTCCACAGGCTTTTCAGGGGATGTGTTTGCACTTTGCAGAGGCTGCTCCTGGAGCCATCCAGGTGCAGAATCAGGCAACATCTCCTGGCACTTGGAGATCCCACAGGAATCCCGTTCCCCTCCATTCTCTCATCCCCTTTCCTGCTCCTTGTCTCGTGTTTATCCACTCTTGTTGCTTTTTTTGTAGTCCACTTGCCAGGCTGTTCACACCCTTTGACCTGTTGGGAACAAAACAAGCCTTCACTGTGATCCAGCCCCTGAGAAATCCCAGCAGAAACCCAGCACCGCATCTGTTTTCTCTGGAAACAGAGTCTGTGGCACTGGTTGTCATTGCACCCCCACTTAACCCTTCCCCTCATCCCAGATCTCTTGAAATCCCCCTTCCTCTGCACTTTATCCATGACTAAAACACTAGGAGCGAGTCAGCCACTGCTCTTTCCAGATTTCCTCCTCTCCTTGGCTAATTGGTGTGGAATTCAGTTGGCACACCTGAACCTGGGTGTTGCTGGGGAGGGTTCGCTTCTCCTTGCTCTTCATGAAGAAAAAAGACCCATCCTTGGGGAAATTCTGGGTCCTGCCCTGAATGCAGAGATTTGGCCAAGGGCTCCCATTACCAGATTTCCAATTTTGGTGGTAAAAAAGGAGCAGGGGAGAAAAAAAGAAGCTTGGAGAACCTTGGTGCTGCTCAGAAGGCCAGGTGAGCTCTTGGAAGGTGGAGAGGATTTTGAAGTATTTGGGCGCAGTGTAAAATACCCAAGTGTAAACATTACCATTGTTTAATTCACTGTCCTGTCCCCCTTCCCTTAAATTATGTGTGTTAGTGCAAAAAAAAATACAAAGCTTTAGCTGCACTTGGAGATTTCCCTGGGCCAGAGGAGGCTGAGTCACGTCGGGAGAGGAGTCGAGGTGGGAATGCAGGTCTGCGCTTGGAAGTGATCTCTGGCACTGTAATGTAGAATAATTAGATTTTATGGGGTTGGAATAGCTTCAGCTTTTATATTTGTATGGAGATCGGGAGAAATGAAGTAATTTGTAGTTTCTAGTATAAAGCAGTGGTAGTGGAGACAAGCACAGATTTCACAAGGGGGTCCCCAGGGGGCCCTTCCCAAACGTCTCGGGGAGCTGCCTTTGCACCTTAACAGGGGTGGATTTTGGGGTTTGTTGTTGGTGAAATGGTCATTTCATGTTTGGTTAAATGGTTGTTGTCAGCAGGGGGACTCGAGGGAAAGGAGGAGAGCCTTGGGGACCAAATTTGGGGCAGCTTGGCTGGAGAGGAGAGAACTTCCCCATCCTCATCTCATCGTCAGGCATCTTCCTTCCCCCTCCAGAGGCTGCTACACCCATCCTTAGGTGGGATCTCTGCCTGTCGGGCCTGGATCCTCAGTTCCACACCTTCCATTCTTGATGATTTGTGGGTAAAATTTACTGCGTAGAAAACCTGCTTTTGGATGTTCTTGTATTTGCTGCACAACAGGAAAAAAAAAAGAAAAAAATGCTCCGGAGTAAAGCTCTCCTCAAAGTAGAAAAGAAACACTGAACTACCCCAAATTAAGAGGTTCTGAGTGAATTTTGAGTTCTAAGCTGCCAAAAACAGAAGGTAGGCTTGAATGATTTTATTGGAAAAAAATCTCCTGTTTGAAAAAAAATAATAGAGGTCATAGAACAAAACATCCAAAGCTGTAGATGGGTGAATTTGTTGGTTTAAGATATTTGTAGGTTTTGCTTTGTTGTTTAGCATGGGCCAGTTTTCAACGTATTGGGACAGTTTACCTTGAGTTGACTGAGTCTGTCCCACACTTTAAAGGGAGGCTTGAGGGGTTTTGGCCAGGATTGTCAGGAGCTGTGAATAGTTCATGTTTTGAGAGGGGAATTGCATGATTTCGGAAAAGTAAAAGGTCAGTTTGGGATTTTTCTTTTTTAGGGCCATCTTCAGCCCCAAATCGCCAAGCATGTTTCTGGCTCCATGTTTTATTTCAGGGTGACAACAAGATGTGTGGGTGAATGAACTCCCATAATTTACTCCCACGTTCAGGGGGGAGAATTTTGCTTGTGGATGGATAAAATA